AACATATGTCTGGTCCTATTAAAATAGAATACAAATGTATAGGAATCTATCAACTTAAAACCAATGTAGCTTAGCCGTAGATATATGCATCAACTATCCTTGTAGTAAAAGATTATTTTACTACTATCCCTGTAGTAAAAGATTATTGTTCGGCTGAGTTTGTCCCCTAGCCAAAGAGGAACTTAAGATGTTTTGTATGGGCCTTTTCTCAGTCAGGATCCTATTTCAGATGTGGAATTTTACAGTGCCAAGCAATGTGTTATCCTCCTCAACCTTTTCTACCTCTTCCTTGTCTTTTGATCACACACTACATCATACTAGTGATGTAGGAGATTTTTTCTTTTTGTGTCAGGAGCGACTTGAGAAACAGCAAGTTGATGTAGGAGATGCCCATCTGGAAGCCCTGTTTGCCTGGTGTGAAAAGGAGTGTTAGTAGTAACTGTTATATGATCTTGGAGCCCTTGATACCTTCATTAGATTCCTATAAATGATGTCATTCTTTCCTTACTGCTTTTCCATCATTATGTATAGACTTCATTGACTAAAATACCAAGAACTAAATAAAGGAAGTTAAAGGGATTGTACTCATGGGAACATCTTGCTACTCTTTCATGTTCAAGCTCTATAAACTCCATAATTCATCCACTATTTTAATATTTAGATGGGGTATTATGACAACATGACGTGGTAGTTTGGGTTACAACTCTGGAGACCAGGGTTCAATTATCTATTTGGTAAACCCACTGGGTTATCTTTGGCAAGCTACTTTCAGCCCAGGAAAATCCCATGATAGGTTCACATTAGGGTTACCACAAGTTGGAAATGACTTGAAGGCACACAACAAGAGCATTGGGGCTGAGCTCGAAGTAATCAATATAAAGTAATATTACTTCAAGACCAGAAAAACAGTTTCTCAGGGGCTCTCAAACCTCAGTCAGGGAGGGGAACAGGATGGGAAAGGTTGGTGGGAGAAGGAGGAGCTGACCAAGAAATGTAAAGTTGGTAACATTAGTGGAAAGGTAATTTCCTGCAAATTTGGAAAGTCCTCAGATTGACCTGTAGCTGAATAATTAGAAGCACGTTTCACTTTAATCTATTAGCAGTTGAAGGTCATGCTATGTTATTTCCTCAAAGGCAATTATCTTAAGATTACTGAAATACCAAGAAAGCATTTTGAAATGACTTAGTATTTTAGGCTCTCACAAGACATCGTGCACATAGAAACTGCCTTGCTGGATCAGATCAAAGCTCCACCAAGTTTTTAAGAGCATTTTTCAATAGCTGCCAGCCAAATGTCTCTCCAGGAAATCCCAAGCAGAGCATGAAAAGATGGTGACTTTCTCCAACCTCAATTCAGGCAAAATGTAGTCTGTACACATGTAAAAATATTCCATATGATATTTATATCCGCCATTCGCAACCGAGTGGCCAATCAGTGTCTCCAAAAGTCTGCCACAATTTTCCCCTTCTCAGTCCCATTTCACACAGTACAAGTATTGCCATTCCTGTTTTCCATTTTTCTTTTGATATCATGGAGGTCCTGAGGGGCCCAGAGGAGTGTTACATGGAGAGAAAAACAAATTAATGCATGTAATGTGGATCTTCAATTGCCTCACCTCAAGGAATAAAGGTTACTTATCAAGGAATTGTAATAAAGGTTACTATCAAGTTTCTCTTTATAACACCTCCTCCACAACTTTCTCTTGGTTCCCCTGGAACTATTCATAGCAACTGCTCAGGGATGCTTCAGTCTGGATTAAACCAGGAGGGCTGAGCTTTCAACCTAAAACGATCAAGCAGATCTGGATCACCCAAATAATCAGCCCACTCAAGAAGTATGGATCAGAAGTGTACTAAATAATCATTGGGGCATTGTGTGGTTTCCGGGCTGTATGGCCATGTTCTAGCAGCCCTTTCTCCTGAAGTTTAGCCTGCATCTGTGGCTGGCATTTTCAGAAGATCTGATGGTGGTAAAGCAAGTGATCCTCTGAAGATGCCAGCCACAGATGCAAGTAAAACATCAGGAGAAAAGGCTGCTACAAAACGGCCATAAAGCCTAGAAACCACAAAGCATCCCAATGTTAAAGGCTGTGAAAGCCTTCGACAATACATTAAATGATCTCTCTCCCCCCCCCCCTACTTTTTATGTTAGACAATAAATGTAGGAAATGATAATTATTTTGCTACCAGCATATGTACCTGGCGTTGCCYAGGTGTCAGAGGGACGGCTCCCCCAGCATTAATCCTGTCTTTCTCTTTCTTTCCTTTCCTCGTGCCTTTCACTTTCCTTTCTTGCTTCCCTTTTTCTTTCTTCCTCCCTCCTCCAGCTCTGAGAGAGCCTCTCTTTGTGGCTTTTCCCTTCTTCCCTCTCTTCCTGTCATACAAGTCACCTTTCTTTCCCAGTGACATGACAGAAGGCCTTCTTTAGGGGTCCCTGTGTGTGTGTGTGTGAATCATATCTTTTTATCTATATCTATGGCTGGATGGCTGTCAGGAGGGATTTGATTATGTTTTTTACCCTGGTGAAGGGAGGTGGACTGGATGGCCTTAAGGCAGCATTTCTCAACCTGGGGGTTGGGACCCCGGGGGGGGGGGTCACGAGGGGGTGTCAGAAGGGTTGCCACACTAGAAAACAAAGTATATTCTGTTTGTCATGGGGGTTCTGTGTAGGAAGTTTTGGGAGTCCTGTGTGCCACATTTGGTTCAATTCCATCAGTGGTGGAGTTCAGAATGCTCTTTGATTGTAGGTGAACTATAAATCCCAGCAACTACAACTCCCAAATGACAAAATCATTTTTTTTGAATAAAGGACATACATTGGATTGTTAGATGTATTGTGTCCAAATTTGGTGCCAGTTCATCCAGTGGTTTTTGAGTTCTGTTAATCCCACAAATGAACATTACATTTTTATTTATATACGAGTCGTCCCCTTCCACACGTTGCTGGGGCCCACACTGGTGGTAATGGGGGTTCTGTGTGGGAGGTTTGGCCCAATTTTATTGTTGGTGGGGTTCAGAATGCTCTGTGATTGTAGGTGAACTATAAATCCTGGCAACTACAACTCCCAAATGTCAAGATTCTATTTTCCCCAAACTCCACCAGTGTTCACATTTGGGCATATTCATGTATTCATGTAGAGTTTGGTCCAGATCCATCATTGTTTGAGTCCACAGTGCTCTCTGGATGTAGGTGAACTACAACTCCCAAACTCAAGATCAATGTCCACCAAACCCTTCCAGTATTTTCTGTTGGTCATGGATGTTCTGTGTGCCAAGTTTGGTTCAATTCCATCATTGGTTGAGTTCAGAATACTCTTTGCTTGTAGGTGAACTATAAATCCCAGCAACTACAACTCCCAAATACATTTGTATTTATATAGATTATACATAATAATAAAGAAGGGGAGCCAGGATAAAGAAGGGGAGCCAGGAGGACATTGCCATCTTGTCCCCTGTGACATTGCGCCCCTCCCCCAACACCAACGGCCACTCTGGGGCCAGAATTGTTTTTATACTGTGTCTTGAATTTTGTTGTTCCTATATTGTACACCGCTGTGAGTCGCCCCTGGGCTGAGAACAGCGGTATATAAGCAAAGTAAATAAATAAATAGATTAGTAATATTACATGTAATATAATTATATAAATATAATATCATATTATTGCTATTAGTATTATATTGCATTACATTACAATATTATAAATGCAAATAAATAATATTATACTATATATATATATATATATATACGAAATAATCTATATAAATAAAAATGCAATGTTCGTTTGTGGGATTAACAGAACTCAAAAACCACCGGATGAATTGGCACCAAATTTGGACAGAATACAGCTAACAATCCAATGTCTGTCCTTCAATCAAAAAAATTGATTTTGTCATTTGGGAGTTGTAGTTGCTGGGATTTATAGTTCACCTACAATCAAAGAGCATTCTGAACCCCACCAACGATGGAATTGAACCAAACTTGGCACACAGAACTACCATGACAAACAGAAAATACTGGAAGAGTTTGGTGGGCAGTGTCCTTTGGTTTTGGAGTTGTAGTTCACCTACATCCAGAGAGCACTGTGGACTCAAACAATGATGGATCTGGACCAAACTACACGAAAACTCAATATGCCCAAATGTGAACACTGGTGGAGTTTGGGGAAAATAGAATCTTGACATTTGGGAGTTGTAGTTGCTGGGATTTATAGTTCACCTACAATCAAAGAGCATTCTGAACCCCACCAACGATGGAATTGAACCAAACTTGGCACAGAGTTCTCCCATGACCAACAGAAAATACTGGAAGGGTTTGGTGGGCAGTGTCCTTTGGTTTTGGAGTTGTAGTTCACCTATATCCACAGATCACTGTGGACTCAAACAATGATGGATCTGGACCAAACTCTACACGAATACTCAATATGCCCAAATGTGAACACTAGTGGAGTTTGGGGAAAATATAATCTTGGCATTTGGGAGTTGTAGTTGCTGGGATTTATAGTTCACCTACAATCACAGAGCATTCTGAACCCCACCAACGATAGAATTGGGCCAAACCTCCCACACAGAACCCCCATGTGGGCCACAGCAACGCGTGGCAGGGGACGGCTAGTAATAAATAATATTATACATGCAAATGTGGACATTCCAAAATCCCAATTCAACAATATTCAGAAACTTGAAAACAATTCTGGTCCCAAGCACTTCGGACAAGAGATATCAGCCTCATCATCATTTTATTATTATCCTTATTATTTTCATTTGTACCCTACTTTCATTTGGTAAAAACATACCTAAAGATTTTTAAAAAATCCTTTAGAGCAGAATAACACAGATTAATTCTGTATGCAAAGCCACCCTATTCAGACCCCCTCCTAAACCAAAGCGTGACTACATCCCTCTTTCTTCTCCTGCTCTGTTTTGCCCTTCTGCTCAGGCAGTGGCATAGACGGCTAGCTGTGGTTGGGCGACGTCACGAGAGGGCCTTTAGCAAACCGGAAACCGGAAGCGCCGGCCTCTGAGAGAGAAGTTGACGTGTTAAAGCGCGCTTGGAGGGTAGAGTCCAGCCTGAGGGACCTGCCACGATGGAAGCGCTTTACCACCAGACGAATAAGTGCGTGCTTTGGGTCTAACCCGTGAAATATCTTGGGATTGGGGAAGGCGAGGGAGAAGGAAAAGGGGTTTGATAGGTTTTGAACATCCTTTCTCCTAAGGATCCCAAAATTCTCCACATGGGGGAGGGCTGGGAGAGTGGCTGATGGGTCAGTGTATGCAGACTTCCATACACAACATTATTAAAAATGCCGAATATATATAAAAAAATTGAAGGTAAATGTGTAAGGTGTTTGGGGCTTCTACACTGTCATATACAATCCAGATTATCTGCTTTGAACAGGATTATATGGCAATGTAGACTCATATAGTCCAGCTCAAAGCAAATAATGTGGATTATCTACTTTGACAGTCTGGATTATATGACAGTGTACACTCATATCATCCTGTTCAAAGCAGATAATGTGGATTCTCTGCTTTGATAATCTGGGTTAAATGGCAGTGTAGATTTGTACCATCCAGTTCAAAGCAGATAGTGTCGATTATCTAATTTGACAGTCTGGATTATATATCAATGTAGACTCATATCCTCCAGATCAAAGTAGATAATGTGGATTATCTTCTTTGACAGTCTGGATTATATGGCAGTGTACACTCATATCATCCTCTTCAAAGCAGATAATGTGGATTCTCTGCTTTGATAATCTATATTATATGTCAGTGTAGACTTGTATCATCCAGTTCAAAGCAGATAATGTGGATTATCTAATTTGACAGTCTGCATTATATATCAGTGTAGACTTATGTCCTCCAGATCAAAGAAGATAATGTGGATTATCTACTTTGACAGTCTGAATTATATGGCAGTAGACTAATTTCATCCAGTCCAGAGCAGATAATGTGTATTATCTGCTTTGGCAATCTGGATTATATGGCAGTGTAGACTCATCATCTAGTTCAAAGCAGATAATGTGGATTATCTGTCAATCTGGATTATATATCAGTGTAGACTCATATCCAGTGCAAAGCAGATAATATGGATTATCCGCTTTGATAATCTGGATTATATGGCAATGTAGAAGGGGCCCATGACACGTACATCAATTTCATGCTTAGACTTGGGTCCCATCGCCCAGTGTATTTCCCAAGACATTATTTCTTGTCTCAAAGCATGTTGGATAAGAGATACTCAAGCAGTGTGTGAAGAAATTGGATATGTGGCAAGCCACCTGAAGGGTTGCATTTAAGGAGAATGACTATAGCAATTCATTAGACAGTCCCCAAGCTATGAACAAAATACGTTCTCCAGGTTTATTCTTAAATTGAATTTGTATGGAAGTCAGAATAGGGACACTTTTAAAATGTAACTCCATCCATGCACTTTGAATAGCATAGGGCAGGGTTAACACCCCCGTGGTGTTTGTATTGCTGTCTGTGACCCTGTTTAGAAGATTTCCCCTTAATTTCTTTCCCTGTGATATTTGTTTTTTTGAAAGAATTGTCTTGTTGTGGAAACAAGGTTTGGAGATAAAGCTTCAGTAGAAATATCTATTCCCCATTATCTCTTTGAAGAGCGAATTTCCCTTCCTAGAGGTAGATTTCTCTCCTTTCCTGTTGTCTGATCCCCATTCTTGTATGTATGTAACTTGGATATTTGTAGCTCGGGGATTGCCTGTACATGCAAGTACAGGCATGCCAAAATCTGAAAAACATCCAAAATCCCAAGCACTTCTGGTTCCAAGGAATAAGTTGGACAGATGGCAGCAGGGTGAACTACCTGAAGGGTTTCATTTACAGAGCATAGTTATAGCAATCAATAAAACGAAAGAAAGAAATATTTTGTGGCATATGGCGATGGCAGAAGTAGCTATAGAAGTTGTGATAATAATAATACCTGCCATTTATATATAATTACATATCCATAACCCTCTATTATAACATCCCTGTGAAATAAGTATTACTTCCATATTGCAGGGTGAGGAAGAGAGGCTCAGCAAAATGAAGTTTCTGAGGGCCCCACTGCCATATAATCCAGATTGTCAAAGCAGATGATCCAGATTATCTGCTTTGAACTGGATTATATAAATCTACACTGCCATATAATCCAGTTCAAAGCAGATAATCTGGATTTTATATGGCAGTGTAGAAAGGGGCTGAGAAAAAAATGAAGTCCATCTGTTTTGAGTCCTAACTTTCAATGAATGGCCATGTGGAATAGAAGAGGGATTTGGGGCATCTGCAAGGCAATCATATGTGGGTTGGCTGATGAGTGAGGATCACGGTTTTAAATGTCATGAGAAAATGTTCATGTGACCAGTGGAGTTTCAGAGGATTTCTGCCTTAAGTGGGTTCAGTTGTATCCCTGCACAGAAACAAATCCCAACCTCATGTATATTCAGATGTAATTCTGCATATGTTGGCCCTGTACGAGCAGCCCTTTCCCTTGCATCTGTTACAGCTCTCCTTATATTTACATGCCTGAAAGAGAAGCCTACATAACCTCTGTGATGTGGCAGCCAAAAAAGCCAATGAGATTCTAGGCGGCATCAATGGGTGTATAGTGTCTAGATTGAGAAGTCATAGATCCACTCTGTTCTGTTTTGGTCAGACTCACCTGGAATATAATGTCCAGTTCTGGGCACCTACAATTCAGGAAAAATATTAACATGTTAGAACGTGTCCATGGAAGGGTGACCAAAATTGGAAACCAAGCCCTAGGAGGAGCAGCTTGAGGACCTGGGTATGTTTAGCTTGGAGAAAAGAAGCCTGAGAGGGGACATGATAGACATGTTTCAATATTTGAAAGGATGTCACATTGAAAAAGGGGCAGGCTTGGATGCTCTGGAGGACACTAGGATATAAAACAATAGATGCAATTTGCAGATGAGATTCCTTCTAAATATTAGGAAGAACTTTGAAGGTTACATCTGTTCACCTGTGGAATATGTTGCCTCAGAGTGTGGCTGAGTCTCCTTCTGTGGAAGTTTTTAAACAGATGCTGGGGGTGCTTTGATTGAGTGATCCTGCATGGACTGTGTGGCCCAGGGGGTCCCGTCCTAGTTTCTAGCCCCGTTACTAAAAACTAAATTAGAAAGTATTTATCAAGTAGTGATTGAAAGGGTTTCAGATTATTTACTGTGGTGGTTCTCAGAATACATAGCAATAGGGGGTGGGGAGAACGAGTGACCAAGGTGAACTGCAGTCCCCAAACTGTTTACTTAGGCCAGTGGTTCTCAACCTGGGGTCCCCAGATGTTTTTGACCTTCAACTCCCAGAAATCCTAACAGCTGGTAAACTGGCTGGGATTTCTGGGAGTTGCAGGCCAAAAACATCTGGGGACCCCAGGTTGAGAACCACTGACTTAGGCTGTGTCACATTAAAAAATGATAAGTTTCTTTAATTCTGTGTAGGAGGTTTTAGATTTACCTGGCACCCATATTTAGCTTGGGCAGTGGGCAGATGATGCAAATCCAGTGAAGCAGAAATGGAAAGTCATATAATCTATTATATGACCAGATGTTGAAAAAAAGGAGTAGGTAGGAGCGAGCTACATGAAACATAAGAATTGAGAAAGTTAATAAGAGTGCTGGGAAGTATAGTCTTTTAATGTGTAACTTTACAAGTCTTCTATATGTAACTCTCCATTGTGATCACTCTGACTTACCCTTAGGTAAATGTGTCTTGAGATTGTTGGTTGAGTGATCATACTCAAAATCAAAGATATATGTGAATAATTGTCTTTCTTTCTGACTTGCATGAGTATTGGGTAATTACTGTGATTTCCATTTATAGCCATTGAAATTTACAGGGAGCTACATACTTGATCTAATTCTTTTAAAAAATGCAAGTTAGATTATGCTTTGGATTTTGTAATGTCAAGGATGAAATTGCCAGAGTGAATGCTGTACCAGTAAATATTGTAAATGAGATCCAGTTTAGTCTCTTATATTTATCTGGCCTGAAGCAAGGTTCAGATGGCTTTCTTTGTCCATTGAATCATGACGACTCTTTGTTCTCACTCTTCTCCCCACATCAAGTTATACTTTGCCTAGAATTGTGGTTATCTCCTAAAAATGGGCTTTTCTAATTTAGCAACACTCATAGTTGACGCTACCTTGCAGATGAGGGGTGTTCTTTACAAACTTTCAAAAATCTGAATGTTAAACTGTATGCTATTAGAAAATTGGTTTTACTTTCTGTTGATCCTTAAATGTTTCATAGCATATATAATTAATTTATTTCTGCTATCACAGGAACATGAGTGCCAACTGTCACCTGATTGCATCACATGCAGGTTGACTTTAAAAACATGGTTATGTGTATTTCTGAACTAGTCATCTCTTTGCTTTTTTTGTTTTAACATATCTTGAGATCATAAATTGGCGTGCCCTTACAAAACTTTCAAAGGTTGATTGAGCAGCATCACATTAGGCAATGGTAATTTGCAATCTGGTGATTACTCAAAGCAGTCATTGTACATGTTTCCTTGTCATGATGAAGTCAACTTGGATTGATGCCACCATACTGAAAATGTGCTATAGAGAGCTGACACAGTTAAACTAAAGGTGATTTGATTTAGCTCTCTTTGTCAGATGCTAACAGATCCCGCAGAGTTGTTTTTTTTTTTTTAGTTCTAGACTATAGTGATAGACTGCTAAGAAGCATTGCAAACTAGTGCTTACATACCATATAGCACTATTCATTGGAAGTAGTGTGTTGTTGGACTGCAATTCCCAACATTCCTCACCACTTGCTATACAAGCCAGGGGAAGCTGGGGCTTGTTGTACAACATCTGGAGGGTAACATGATTCCCACTGTGGATATAATATTATCGTATTGTTATACACCTTACTATTCAAATTATAGTGAGCCTGAACTTTTTTTGCCAGATTCTTTGTCTCATGTTTTTGGCCTCTCACAACTGCTATTTTTCATTGCCCATTACATTTACTTGTTTTTCTGGCATGTGGCTCTGCCTCACATCCGTTTCCAGGAGATGCCAAGGGGCAGAGCATTCTTCCCTTACTTTCCCAGCCTGATCTCCCACATCCGGTTCCTTTTTCTCTCTTGTGGCCTGACATTCTCAGCTTGTTTCCCAAATAGGTTTTCCAGCTGGCAGGATTGAACCATTTCTACCCTGCCATTCCCGCTGTTTGTTTTGGAGGAGGTCTGCAGGAGAAGTGCCAGATAATCGTACTGGAACTTCCCAACAGATCCCCCGTTTTCTAGACAGACTGGAACACAGCATGTGCAACTATGTTAATGTAAAATTGAAATGCCCCCTTAGCCAGTGATGGGAGTTTTTTGGAAGCTTAAGATTTTGGTTTATCTCAGAGGGATGAGCTCGAGCTGTTGGTTTGGGTTTCATGTTAAAATCTAGGGTATGACTTGTTTGATTGCTCCTGTTGGCAGATGGAGCTATATGATAAAACTCTTACTTAAACATTATAAGCTAGAATTTATTTTAAAAAACCAAAGTTGTCTAGCCATGCTAACAGAGCACCATCTCTAATTTTAACAGGCTTGTACATAAAAATGCATGTGTCTTCAAGGGGTAGCTACTTGGAAAATGTTTGTTATATTTTTATATAACTTAGGGATTATCCTTTCCACTTGTGTAGCTTATTTGATGTTTTAGCTTTTAATTATACTGGCCATTAATGTTATGATACAGTTCATTAAGAAGTTTGAGTGTTGGGTAATGACTCAGGAGAGCAAGGTCAATTCCGTGTTTGGCCATGGAAACACATTGGGTGAGTCACACACTCTCAGCCCCAGAAAATCTCATGATAGGGCCATCATAATTTGGAAAGTAGCTGAAGGCATGCAACAACAAACAGTTCATTGCTGAAAATAGAAATATACAGTACTAGAAATAATTTCCACACCAAAACTCTACTAACCCAGTTTTGCAAGTGAGGATACAGTAGCTCAGGGGTCCTCAAACTTTTTAAACAGAGGGCCAGGTCACAGTCCCTCAAACTGTTGGAGGGCCAGATTATAACTTGAAAAAAGCATGAATGAATTCCTATGCACACTGCACATATATCCTATTTGTAGTGCAAAAAACACTATAAAGCAATACAATAATTAAAATGTAGAACAATTTTAAGAAATATAAACTGATAGTATTTCAATGGGAAGTGCGGACCTGCTTTTGGCTGATGAAATAGGATTGTTGTTGTTGTGTGCTTTCAAGTCATTTCAAACTTAAGTTGACCCTGAGTGAGGGCCGGGTAAATGACCTTGGAGGGCCATATCTGGCCCCCATGCCTTAGTTTGAGGACCTCTGCAGTAGCTGATAGACTATACCAAAGGTAGAGATTATATGGCCCTCCAAATGTTGCTGAGCTACAATTCCTAGCATTTCTCACCTTTGCATGCGCTGGTTATGGATGATGAGATTTGCAGGCCAGCAACATTTCGAGGCCTGTCCATTTCATCCTTTTTTCATGTGGTTGCTTTTTTCTACATCTTCCTTGCTTGGTTGGCTAGAGGTAATTCTTATTCACTATAGGTAATTAGACAAATGGCTTTTTGTAAGCCTGACATAATAGTCCTGTTGCTAGAAGCCGTTTAAGTACATTAGCAGTGTTACATAAATACTGAGTTTTATTACCAATAATGTATAATTTCTTTGTTGCATAAGATTGCCACTGTTTTATTAGAGTCTTGGCTTGTATGACTGGATTACTGAGTCTTTTTTTGCTCCTCACATTAGCAGTTTATCTTTGTTGAGGGTGTACTTTCTTGAGAAATATTCTTTCTACTGGAATAGCCTCTTACTGACTCTCCCATTTCCTTCCTTTCTTCTTTTCAACAGGCAAGTCCATGAGGTCCAGTCATACATGGGCCGTTTAGAAACAACAGACAAGCAGTCAGTTCACTGTGAGTAATTGATGCTGGAGATCACCCAGGCGATTGTCCTGGTTTGATATCACTGGGTTAGGTTTCCTATATGGAATTATTTCCCCAATATGTGTCTCAAGTTTCCATTTGCTGTACTAAATGAAAGGTGTTATATTTTCCATATTTCTATTATTAGCTTCTTTGACTCTATCAATTGTCCTTTAGAGCCTAGAATGGTTCAAAATCTTTCTGCATACCATCTTCAAAGATTCATTCTGGTTCCTCAGGTTCTCAAGAACACTGGCAAGGAATGGGTGCCAGAAAATATATTAGATGTGGGTAATACTTGGGTAAATATGCCTTACCTCCCATAGAAATAATTGTAACTTTTGAAAATACAAGTATGCCAGTTAGTTTGAAATCCTGATTGCAGAATGTAACCTTAGTTTTGCTGTATATAAGAGTTTTCTACATCTTACTGTTGCACTTCGTATTCTTGTAACGAGGTTGGTTCTGCCATTCTTTCCCAAACATCTGCATCTGGACAATTGAATGCACCGGGACTGTGGCACAGCTGGCTGGGAGTCAGCTGCATTACGATTACTACTGACCGAAAGGTCATGGGTTCGAAGCCAGCCCGGGTCGGAGTGAGCTTCCAACCAATTTGTGTAGCTTGCTGTCGACCTTTGCAGCCCGAAAGACAATTGAATCTGTCAAGTAAGAAATTTAGGTACCGCATATGCGGGGAGGCTAATTTAACTAATTTACAATGCCATAAAAAAAAGCAAAGAATGAGAAAGTAATTCATCAGTGTTACAAATGGACAGTGAAGCAACAGCTCCCTTGATGGCCAGAATACCCTCATCAATAAGCTGGAATGTTAAGTAGCCTCTGTGTGTCTGTCTATATATGTTGTGTGTCTATGGCATCGAATGTTTGGCATGTATATGTACATTGTAATCCGCCCTGAGTCCTCTGCGGGTGAGAAGGACGGAATATAAATACCGTAAATAAACGAATAAATAAATAAATGCAGCCCCATTGCTCCTTTTAAAATATAAGTTTTAAAAACTGCAAGGAAGTTAACCACAGGTTCCCATCATGCCTGGATTGAAGAACCAGAGTTAATGACTTTCCATTATGTTTGAATGAAAGAATTGTAATTGATGCCTTCTTCATAATCCAGACACAAATCCATGTTTTACAATAGGCTTCTGCATCATGTCTTGTTTGGAAGCCATTTGTCCCAGTTTCCCAATGTATGTGTCACTGAGAAGCTATTATTATGGTGGTTGCTTTTTACACTTGCTAAGCAATGCTAAGGGACTGGATCCACAGTACAACTAATGGAATGAAGCTTCTAGGCAAAACCAGGACTAGGGCTCAGAAGAACAAACTGCACGGCTAAAATAATAAATGATCCTGTAGCCCTGATTATACTTGCCCTCTTTCTTTTTCCCCTTCTCCAGTGGTAGAAAATGAAATCCAGGCACGAATTGACAGAATCTTCAGCAACCTTGAACGGCTCGAAATCTTTTGCAATAAGGAACCTCCCAGCAAACGTCAGAATGCCAAACTGTGAGTAATCCAAGGTGGCTTCTTTTGTACTTTATGTCTTAGTGCTGTATTCTTCCTGTTGTTTAGAAATGTTTGATGCTGATTATTGCATTTAATATGCAATAGAAAGTGCAGGGCGATACATTTCTTTGTCAACAAATACAGCTATAAGCTTTTTCTTTACATTCTTGTAAAAAGCCTTTTACCCACCAGTTATCAAGTGTCAAAATTCAGTGTCAAAAACAAACCTCAAAATAACTAGCAGGTTAGAAATGGAAACTGCAAGGCAGATGCAATATTAGCTTAAACAAAGATGTTTGCTCTGTCTGTGGGATTATGGTAGGTATACCTTGAACTGAATTTGTTGGTTCCATAAAAGTGTGCCTGTCAAAGATAAAACTGTATTGAATTGTGTCCATGTTGTTTTTTTCATTGCCTGGTATCTAAAAAAGGCCTCATAGTGGATGTCATGAGGCATGTAAGCACAAAGAGGAAACCTATTAGAGAGCGGAATTGCCACTCAGTCTGTGTGAGTGAGGAAGGTGGGTAGGGGTTACAGTGGCTGCCCTGGAGACTTGGAGGGGTAACATTCCCCTAAATGCCTTTTTTGCTATGTTTCTCTTGTGGCCTGGAGACATTTGGTGACAGAGACATTTTAAGGGTAGAGACTGATGCTGTAGGAGTAACTTTATTAATGGGCTATAATATAACAATAACAACAATAACAGTAAAACTATTGATCGAACATTTGATTGCCAAAGGTACTAGGTTCATTTCCTAACATCTTCAATCAAAAAGGCTGAGCTTCAGGCCGTCCCTTAAGAATTGCTGATGAGCAGAGCGGACAGTCATGGGCTAGAGAAGACCTTTTTAAACTATGGGTTGGGACCCCTAATGGGGTCTTCATAACTGTATGTTGAAGTTGCCTTCTTTTCTCTCCCGTGCACCCAGCTCCCTCTGCTTTTTTTCCCTCTCCCTAGCTTTCTCTTTCCCTTGTTTCTCTGCTTGCCTTTCTTTTGTGCACATGTCTGTTTCTCTGCTGCTTTCTCTCACATCAGTGTGTATCTCCCTGCCTTCCTTTCTCTTGCATGCATAAACTGCTCACCTCTCTGTCTTTTTTGTCCCTACCTTCTCCCTCCCTCTTTCTCCCCCCCCCCCTCTCTGTCATGTGCACACAAGTCTCTCTCCTCTTCCCCCTCCTTTTAATACTTGGGGTCCTTTAGACACTTGGTCACAGAAACATTTATTGTCTGAACATGTCTCCCCTTACAAACCATCGAGGACTCTAAGATCGTCTGGGGAGGCCCTGCTCTCGGTCCCGCCTTTGTCTCGAGTACGTTTGGCAGGGACAAGAGACAGGGCCTTCTCAGTGGTGGCCCCTTGGCTATGGAACACCCTTCCTAGGGAGATTAGATCTGCTCCCTCCCTCTTAACGTTTCAGAGGCAAGTTAAAACATGGCTGTTCGAGCAAGCGTTTACAAATGCAGAGTAGCTAATATAGGAAATCGAACGATTTGACAATGGAACTGGACAATGCTTGATAATAATGAGACGCTAATGATGTTGTTTTTATTGCTTTTGTGGTGTTTTATATTGTTTAATGTTTTAATCTGTATTATGTTTTTATATGTACTGATTTGTTGGAAACCGCCTTGAGTCACCGATTGGCTGAGAAAGGCGGTATACAAATACAGTAAATAAATAAAAGGGTTCACAAATAAAAAAAGCTTTAGAAGCTCTGGGCTAGAGGATCTTAACTGCCGTGTGTGTGTGGGAGAAATAATAATGCTGTTGATGCTAAACCAAAGGTACATTTCCATCATTTGCCACAGTCAAATTCAATCCTAGATAGTATTGGTATTGCATTATTATTTTCTGATAACGTTCCAGTCTAGTTGCCTGTCTCGCATTTTTGAAGCTCATTACAATCTGTCTGTTCTTTGTGATTATTGTTTGTAGCCGAGTTGACCAGTTGAAATATGACATCCAACACTTGCAGACTGCATTGAGGAACTTCCAGCATCGACGCTACACTCGGGAGCAGCAGGAGAGGCAACGCGAGGAGCTTCTGGCTCGGACATTCACAACTAATGTATGTTGCACACCAAGGCCAGTGGTTTTTAGCTAATTTCTTCTCTTGGGCCACCTCCTACTCTCCTCAAATTGAGTTTTGTGGAGTCCCTGCAGTTCAGCACTGAAAAGATCAGAAACAGTGGGAAGACTTATTGATTTCCTTCTTTTGGGCTGTTGTTTAAAAATACAAAAAATAAACAATGAAAGGAACTGGCACTTCTTAAAACAAAATTAAAACAAGTGGCAAAATCACAACAGTATATAAAATCGAAGTAAACCTGGCTGCAGAGTAGAAGAGGGACAAGATCTGAAAACATTAAGACAATTATTTCAGTGCATGGAAGAATAAAACAGACTTCATTTGGTGCTGAAAAGATTGTAATTGGACAAAGATGTTGCACAGATGATGTACCAGTGCTGAGGAAGCCCTTTCTCTTGAAGAATGTATAAATTCATTTGTCAAGGGTATGTGGACAAAGGGCTTGAGAAGGTAGTGATAGTTAGGCAGATAGTTGTCAGAAATACCAAATGACAACTTGCTGCTCTTCTTCTGCAGCAGACAGGGGCAAGATATTGTTTTTTTTGGGGGGGGGGCAGACTGAACTTCACTGCGGTATTGATTGTATTTAGACATCTTTGTCCTTTTGGATTCAGAGTGTCAAGGAAAGGTAACCAAGATGCTTCCTCTTCCTTCCCCTCCTTGCAGGATTCTGACACCACCATTCCGATTGATGAAACATTACAATTTAATGAATCCCTTCAAAATGCACACCGTGGCATGGATGATCTTCTTGGCAGCGGAACCAGTATTCTTCAGGGCCTGAGAGATCAGAGAGTGACATTGAAGGTGGGCACAGGATGAGGCCTTTAGTTGTCTGTTTTTTTCTCCAAAGTATGATTAGGCATCCAGTATTTTAATTTGATGAATTTCCAGAATTCTGAATGGTAAGATGGCAATGTGCATTTCTTCCTCTCTTCCACATCATCTGATTCTTTTTGTTCTTAAACTGTCCAGATTCCAAAACTTTCCTGCTTCATCTTTTACCTGAAAAAGCTAAGACTTCAACCCTTCGAACTGCTATTGTAGTCCAATCAAATGATAACTTGAACTTCGGAGCTTATGAATTTATATCTTCTTTTAAAGATGATTATATGGAAATTACTCATTTCTGCAAATTTGTTCCCAAAAAGGAAGCCTTACTGGATTATAGAAGTGGAGACCCTATAGCTCTCTTAGAGCAAAGATTTGGCATGTGGATTGTTTCATGCTCATTATTGCCATCCCAGTTTAAAAGGGTGAGGTAACAGACCTTTGCCTTACAGTAAAGGATGATTGAGCTTAGATGAACAGTCTGACCTATTAGGTAGCTTCGGATGTAGATTTCCTATCTTACTTTGAACAAGTCCTGAAAGAAGATCGTCCATGCCAGTGGTTCTAAAGAAGAGAAAAGTTATGTACATCAAGTTACCTTGTATCCATTCTTCCATCCCTGCTTCCTCTACCTTTCCTGTCCTACAAATACTTCCTTCCCTGTCAATTGCGGGCTCTGATCTACTTCCATCAGTCATCCACTTTCCTTGCTGTTAGCATTTTTATTTACTGCTTCTTACCTTATGTGGCCTTATGTGACCTTATGTGGTAGATACTACCTTAGCAGCCTATAGGTGTGCTTGTTCCCAACCTAGGTGAGGTGGTCTTCTCTACCCCCTGTGCTGTGGGAATTAAAAACGAAGGCATTCTTGGTAACATTTCTAGTTCCAAAGCTTATTTTTGTTTGAACCACAACCTTTTTCCTCAGTTGAAGGCAAGCTGGGCTGGCCAACTGGGCGGAGACCCTGCAAATAGGGCAATTCCTGATATTCTGCTAAGATAGAGAGGCTGCTTTCCTGCGCTATCTTGGCCCCACCTGGGACACAACTTTTTTCCCAAGTCAAAGTTGCCAAATCTCGCTGCTTTGGTCACTGAAGGTCACTGCAGGATGTGACTCTGCAGAGATTGACTTCACATTTTGGGTGTAGAGGTCATCCTGGAAAAAAATGCTCACCCTTTACCATCACACTGTAATTATAGGAAATAAAGATGACTCAACTAGGTAGAGGCTTGTTGGCACCATAGGCTTTATGTACCAGTACCTCTGCAGACATATTGGCAATAAATTTCCAACTGGCCACTACTTATCCTCACAGTGCCTCTTTGCTGCTCTTCTAGTATCCTCAGCCATTGCCATCTTTGTTTTCATACATCATATGAAACTACTGCAGGGTTAAGCAGAGCCACTGGGAAAAGGAAGCATCAAGGTTACATGGGTCGGTAGCATTTTTTTGCTTTATTTTTATTAATTATTTGACACAATCTCATATATAATCAGAAAATATACATTGAGAAATAATGAAACATATCTAGATCTGTATGCAGATGGCAACTTGTACAAAGTAAGTATAACATTACCATTCACTCGAGTTTAAGACACTTTCAAAGGAAAATCCATGCAAACTATTCCTAATTAGAACTGTTTCCATCTAGATAACAGCAATAGTGCCATCAGCTACTTCTCCCATGGGTCTGCAGCTTAATTCTGGTGTTTCAAGGAAGGGAGTTACTCAGAACACAACAAAATACGAGGGGTATTTTTTAAGTAAGGTCCGTTTGAACATAAGTACATAACGAAAGTTTATTTCAAAAAAGGAAATTTATTTTCAGAAAGTACATACTTCACTCTATTTTTCGACATAGTTGCCAAGTTTGTTCAAACACTTATCATACCTCTGAACCAATTTTAAAATACCCTCTTCATAAAAACTTGCCGCCTGCTCCGATAACCAAGAGTTCACTGTAATCAAAGAAGGGCGACCGGAGCGGTCCTCATCATGGACGTTGTCACGGCCATCTTTGAATTGTCGTACCCACTTACGCACTTTGCTTTCACTCATAACAGTATCACCGTACACTTCACAAATCTGTCGATGAATTTCTGCAGCAGGCAGGTTCCTTGCTGACAAAAACCGTATCACTGAGCGAACCTCACATGCGGAGGGTGAGTTGATAGTCTTAAACATTTTTAAAGCACAGAACAGAACCGTACAGGTTAGCTACAGAGCGGAAACTAAGCACAGTTGTTCCCGAGGCATGCCGGTACACGACGCACGCGCTCGTTGCGGTATGCGCGCAAACTACTAGTGTCTACAACAAAACAGACCTTACTTAAAAAATACCCCTCGTATTTAGAAAGGTGGAGAAAACAGAATATAGTTGACAAAACCACTTCTTATTTGTGGAAAGCTAGACTCACTGCGCTTCTTAATTTGATCAAAGCATTGGTAGAACTTGCATGTGACAATAGATGTCTGACTGATGTAAAACAACTTGTCTTTTCCTAGTGAAAGCCGTGTGCCTGGATTTTTTAATTACTAGATTTAGGTGCCATTGTTTTAATTGCATTCTGTAAAATGCAACACATTTTCATATTCTAATGAATTACAGAATCTAATGTGAGAACAGAGTTGTAACGCCACAAAGCATATACATTACACACAGTCGAAGATTCAATGTACCATAAAATGTACTTAAAAGCCTTAAATAGAAGTACATATCTATGTGGAAAGTCTTTTCTTTAGGGGGATTTTGACTGAAACACACCAAAGGCCTCCAGAGTTTGGTGGAATTGAAAGGTTTTATTGACTGTTCTTTTGCTAACAGTCTCTTCTCTTTTGTCACCTTCAGGGCACACACAAGAAAATCATGGATGTTGCCAACATGTTGGGTTTATCCAATACAGTCATGCGACTCATTGAGAAACGTGCCTTCCAGGATAAGTACTTCATGATTGGAGGCATGCTTGTGACATGTGTGGTCATGTTCCTAGTGGTGCAGTACCTGACGTGAATGGCCAGAAAACTCCTTGATGGACTGTATTGGACTCGCTTTTGTCATAGACTTCCAAAATAACTGTGAACTTCCTGACTTCTGGATTGGTCCTGTTCTCTTGTATGGTTCATATGATGTTCAAGCTGGGTAGCATCTGGGGCATTATGGCGCTTGGCACTGAGTGAGAACCTTTCAGCACTCAGAATGAGTGTTATATGGAGACCATGCTGACCTTGGAACACTCAAGCTTAGTTGACAATGTGGTATTGCTTATGCTAGTGACACATATCCATGTGGTCACACCAGGGTAATTGTCATAGGGATCTACAAGGAAAGTATCCAGATGTGCTGTCACTGGAAATGTGGGCTCCATAAGAATGCCAAAGCCATTGTTGTTTTTTTGGAGCAAGGCTATGCACATGAATACCACAGTCACCTGAGATGACGAAACAGCTGTGCTTGAGGGAATTAACTATTTTGAACTTAATTACTGTACTAGGAGGCGAGAAGAGTTTCTTGTTTCCACAGTGGTCAGATACCTTTGTAGACTGTGTGCCAAAGAGATGCTTCCTTCTTCTGGTAAACACAGGTTCCGTGCCTGTCTTTTATCTGGCATAGGCATATCATGAAAGCTTGAAGTAATTCCAGTGAAGAGATTTGGTCTCAAAAAGGTAACAGTAAACAATGTGTTCAAGATACTTAGTGTGACTGATAGCTATATTGCACCCTAAGTGCCAGGTTCTAGTATTGGGTACTTTATCAAGTGGGAAAAGGCTTGGGGAAAGGTATAGGCTGGTAAGTTGTGTGTGAAGCCCATTGAAATCTGGAGCCCTAGTTAGCACGGAAATAGTATTATGGCAACCAGTAGATCTGGCATCTTGCAGAGTAATGCAGTCTTTGAAAATCCCCATGTTTGCAGGAGGTATTTTCTGTACACAGGGTGAAGCATAAGAAAGAGGAAGATGGTGTGTAAACTGTCAGAACTCCGAGGAAGCAATTCTCAAGTTTGAGTTCATTTGTCTTGTTGGCATAGTCAGACCTGTGGCAAAGGTAGTTGCCAGTTTTCTGATAGCACACTGTACCTCAAAATCCCATCTAATTGCTGTGTCAAGGCTGTAGTTCAGAGCCTTCCCAAAAGTGTTAGTGTGAAGCAGTGGCTTTCTGACTTGTGTGCCGAAATACACATCCTAGTGTCACGTGCAAGTTGCTATCTGAGCCTGTTCCTTTATAATTCCTTATTTGATTCTTTCTCCATTCATACTGATATGACTAATGTTTCAGTTGGTTTAAGAAGATTAAAACCATTTCCAAAATAGGCAAGGTAAACATTAAACGTAGCAATTGTGGTTGCGCTCTGTTTCCTTTTTCCCTCTAGCATTTCCAGCTCCTACTTTCATCTTTAGATTGAAATGCATTTTCCTTCTTTTGTAGGATTAAATACAGTATTTAAAGTGGCAGTGGCAAGAGTCATTGAACTGCAACCCCCAGCATCCCTCATGTTTGGCTATCCTGGTTAGAAATACTGTCTAGCAACTGGAAGGCTGGACAGCTCCCACATCTCATTTCACAGAAGAGCAGTAGTTGAGGTTTTTTACTATGTTCTTTTTAGAACAGAGATGTGACTATGTCTAGGTTTCTTGGTTATATGGGGAAAACCCACTATGATGAAAAAGTGTACAACGTGAGCTGGATTTGAGAGAGTCCATGAACCCCATTTAGATAATACTTTGCCGAAAGCAAGTTTCTCTTTCAAAGCACCCACTACCACAGTGGTTCTCAACCTGAGGGTTGGGACCCCGAGGGGGTTCACGAGGGGGTGTCAGAGGGATTGCCAAAGACCATCAGAAAGAACAGTATTTTCTGTTGGTCATGGGGGCTCTGTGTGGGAAGTCTGGCCCAATTCATCGTTGGTGAGATTCAGAATATACTTTGATTGTAGATGAACTATACATCCCAGCAACTACAACTCCTAAATGTCAAGGTCTATTTTCCCCAAACTCTACTAGTGTTCACATTTGGGCATATTGAGTATTTGTGCCAATTTGGTCCAGATCCATCATTGTTTGAGTCCACAATGCTCTCTGGATGTAGGTGAACTACAACTCCAAAACTCAAAGTCATTGCCCACCAAACCCTTCCAGTATTTTCTCTTGTTCATGGGAGTTATATGTGCCAAGTTTGGTTCAATTCCATCGTTGTTGGAGTCCAGAATGCTCTTTGATTGTAGGTGAACTATAAATCCCAACAACTACAACTCCCAAATGACAAAATCAATCCCCCCCCAACCCCACCAGTATTCAAATTTGGGTGTATCAAGTATGTGTGCCAAATTTGGTTCAGTGAATGAAAATATATCCTGCATATCAGATATTCATATGATGATACATAACAGTTGCAAAATTACAGTTATGAAGTAGCAATGGAAATAATTTTATGGTTGGGGGTCACCACAACATGAGGAACTGTATTAAGGGGTCACAGCATTAGGAAGGTTGAGAACCACTGCACTACCAGTTAGTGTTCTCTCCAACCTCTACTTATCAGAAATAGGTGAGCAGTGACCACAGGTGGTGTCGCAAAATGGTTATGGACATTCACACTGAAGCAAAAGGACAGACTGGATTTTTTGGTAATTTTTCTTCAAGACAAAGTTTCAAAGCCTTGTGATAGCAAAGAGATAGGCATGTAATCTACATCTAAATGAATTCCTTAGGAGTTGAAAGTTGTCTAAAAACCTGCATCACTCTTGATCAATCTGTGAAACCTACATAAAAGTATTTATTTAGCTAATAGTCCTGCAGAGTTTGTTACAGATCATTCCTGAGTGAGTTTCTCCTATTCTGTTGGCAGTGGCAGCCATCTAACAAAGTATTAGCAGATACTTGACTTTCTGTGTTGCTTCCCCCCTAAAATCCTATGATCAGTCATCAGCCATCACACTATTGGGATGCTCTTGTATTGCAATATTGAAACTGCAAGAAATCTTTAATAAATGTATCAGGACCTTGTTTGAACCTATTTATGTTTATTTCTGGAAGCCTTAGAAGTTCCCGGAACCAAGAAGACCAAAGTGTAAGAAGGCAGTGCCAAAGGGTTAATTATTTCCCCATCTGGCTCTGTGCCGGTTATTTCCTAGCCTTATTGACGCCATGGAACCAAAGTTTATCATACAGACTTTTAGGTTCAGCAGATTCAGAACATAAAAGAAGGGGACACCCGTCTCTTAATGCTAGTTAAACACAGTACGTTGGAGATAACTCAGCCAAGTTTTATCTTGCTTTCTCTTCAAGTGGTTTATTAGTTGCTGCGGTTGGCAAGGGCTGCCCTCTAGAGGTGCTAAAGGCAAGCTTTCATCCTCAAATCTTCTAGGTTTCCCTCCACACACCTAAAGCAATTTAAGCGAAGCCTGTGCTAGAGCTCCTACCTTTTATTTACAAACAAGTCATGCATACTCGTGGCTCCCTAAAACTGCAAAGAAATCAATTGAAATGATTTTGCTGACCAGTAGGAAAATATTCAATTGTACTGCACCTTAAGAGTAACAAACCATTAAAAACAATCCAGGAACAAAGCTGTTTACTGAATTTCCTTTGTTAAGATGTTATGGAAGTTGGAGTAAAGAAATTAGTTGCACTTGTGGAGGGCAATGATATCCTGCCTGCTGTTTTTGGACTCTTAACTGTCATAATCTCTCATCATTGGCTATGGAGTTGTGGGTAAAAACAAAAATCTAGAGCCAGAGTTACCCAAAGATGCCTGGCACTACCCACTTCCGCCTGGAAAAAGTGGAAAGGCTACATTTATTTACCTATCATAGAATCAAAGAGTTGGAAGAGACCTCATGGGCCATCCAGTCGAACTCCCTGCCAAGAAGCAGGAATATTGCATTTAAATCACCCCTGACAGATGGCCATCCAGCCTCTGTTTAAAAGCTTCCAAAGAAGGAGCCTCCACCACACTCCGGGGCAGAGAGTTCCACTGCTGAACGGCTCTCACAGTCAGGAAGTTCTTCCTCATGCTCAGATGGAATCTCCTTTCTTGTAGTTTGAAGCCATTATTCTGCATCCTAGTCTCCAGGGAAGCAGAAAACAAGCTTGCCCGCTCCTCCCTGTGGCTTTCTCTCACATATTTATACATGGCTATCATATCTCCTCTCAGCCTTCTCTTCTTCAGGCTAAACATGCCCAGCTCCTTAAGCTGCTCCTTATAGGGCTTGTTCTCCAGACCCTTGATCATTTTAGTCGCCGTCCTCTGGACACATTCCAGCTTGTCAATATCTCTCTTGAATTGTGGTGCCCAGAATTGGACACAATATTCCAGGTGTGGTCGAACCAAGGCGGAATAGAGGGGTAGAATTACTTCCCTAGATCTAGACACTATGCTCCTATTGATGCAGGCCAAAATCCCATTGGCTTTTTTTGCCGCCACATCACATTGTTGGCTCATGTTTAACTTGTTGTCCACGAGGACTCCAAGATCTTTTTCACACGTACTGCTCTCGATCCAGGCATTGTCCCCCATTCTGCATCTTTGCATTTTGTTTTTCCTGCCTGAGTGGAGTATCTTGCATTTGTCCCCGTTGAACTTCATTTTGTTAGTTTTGGCCCATCTCTCTAATCTGTCAAGATCGTTTTGAATCCTGCTCCTGTCCTCTGGAGTATTGGCTATCCCTCCCAATTTGGTGTCGTCCGCAAACTTGGTGATCATGCCTTTCTCAGTTTTTCAGTTAGGAAATGAAAGACTGACAATGCTGGCTGCTAAACATAAAAGTTTCCAAACTGTCTAACTTTACAGTTCGCTGTGCACCTTAGTCTAGCATAATATTACATGAATCCTTTTTATTTATTTTCAAAGTATTTTTTATTAGTTATACTAGGTTATTTACAGTATGGTAAAAAAGTATTTGGGGGGGGGGAGATGGAGGAAAATAGATCACAATTTTAGATAGAAGAGCTGTCCTCAGTGAGATGCAAAAAACTGGCATTTTTGTTTCCAGGGGAGTTAACAGGCTGATCTGAGACTTGAATTGGCTACATCAGTGTTTCTCAGCCTGTGGGTCGGGACACCTGTGGGGGTCGTGAGGAGGTATCAGAGGGGTCGCCAAAGACCAACAGAAAACACAGTATTTTCCGCTGGTCATGGGGGTTCTGTGTGGGAAGTTTGGCGCAATTCTATCATCGGTGGGGTTCAGAGTACTCTTTGATTGTAGGTGAACTATAAATCCGAGCAACTACCCAAATCTCAAGGTCAGATGTCCCCAAACTCCACCACTGTTCACATTTGGGCATATTGAGTATCCACGCCAAGTTTGGTCCAGATCCTCCATTGCTTGAGTCCACAGTGCTCTCTAGATGTAGGTGATCTACAACTCTCATGATCAAGGTCAATGCCCACCTAACCCTTCCAGTATTTTCTGTTGGTCATGGGAGTTCTGTGTGCTAAGTTTGGTTCAATTCTATCATTGGTGGAGTTCAGAATGCTCTTTGATTGAAAGTGAACTATAAATCCCAGCAACTACAACTCCCAAATGACAAAATCAATCCCACCCCAACCCTACCAGTATTCAAATTTGGATGAATTGGGTATTTGTGCCAAATTTGGTCCATCTGATATACATCCTGCATATCAGATATTTACATTATGATTCATAAAGTAGCAAAATTATTGTTATGAAGTAGCAACAAAAATGTTATTCTTAGGGGTCACCACAACATGAGGAACTGTTTTAAGGGGTTGCGGCATTAGGAATGTTGAGAACCACTAGGCTACATCTATCTTGTGGTTGATAACCGTTGTGCAGTGTGTTTAAAACATCACATCAGGTGTCTAGGACAAGAGACTGCAGCTGATGAACCTAAGTGCTTGCTTTTTTTTTTTTTTACTTTTCATACTCTGGAAGCATCCCCACTGGAAGAATTGGCAGGAAACATTTGGGTCTGAAGTGTATGCACCTGTGAGCATGAAAACCCATTCAGCTTGGAGGTGTCTCATAAGCTGAAACCCCTGGGGCTGATAATGTCAAGGATCCCCTCTATCCCCACCCATCCAGATGAAAAGAAATTGGTCCCAGGTCTGCACTTAAGAGATGTTTCCCCTTGAGCCAGATGGATTAAGTACTGCCAAGACAGGTGTCTCTAGGGAGGCCTGTGCAAAGCAAGGTTCTTTCTTCTTCTGAGGTTGGTTTGTCTGTGAAAAACGTCTGGAGATGTGCAACTTGTGAAAAGGGTATGAGAGTGCTTTGGGGGACTACAGTGATTGGGGTCCAAAAATACTGAGTTGGAGTGGAACTTTTTACATGTGATATCACATTTTCAATTAACTAGATGCTCCACCTCCTTAAAGTCTAGACATGTACAAGTAGGGTTGTTGTAGGTTTTTCGAGCTATATGGCCATGTTCTAGAAGCATTCTCTCTTGACGTTTCACCTGCATCTATGGCAAGCATCCTCAGAGGTTGTAAGACCTCACAACCCTGAGGATGCTTGCCATAGATACAGGTGAAACGTCAGGAGAGAATGCTTCTAGAACATGGCCATATATCTGGGAGTCACTCTGGACTGGGCCCTGACATACAAGAAGCACTGCCTGAATATCAAGCAAAAAGTGTGCGCTAGAAATAATATCATACGAAAGCTGACTGGCACAACCTGGGGGTCACAACCAGACATAGTGAAGACATCTGCCCTTGCGCTATGCTACTCTGCTGCTGAGTATGCATGCCCAGTGTGGAACACATCTCACCACGCTAAAACAGTAGATGTGGCTCTTAATGAGACATGCCGCATTATCACAGGGTGTCTGCGCCCTACACCACTGGAGAAATTACACTGTCTAGCCAGTATTGCACCACCTGACATCCGCCGGGAAGTAGCAGCCAATAGTGAAAGGACCAAGGCAGAGACATCTACAGCTCTCCCGTTTGTGTATCAGCACGTCAACGACTTAAATCAAGAAACAGTTTTCTAAGATATACAGAGACACTCGCTGAAACACCTCAGCAAGCGAAAGTCCAAAAGTGGCAGGCTCAAATCCAGAACCTCAACCAATGGCTGATACCAAATGAGAGACTCCCCCCTGGGCACACAGAAAACTGGGCAACTTGGAAGGTGCTGATCAGACCACTCTGGCACCATGAGATGCAGAGCCAACCTTCAGAAATGGGGCTACAAAATGGAATCCACGACATGCGAGTGTGGAGAAGAGCAAACTACAGACCACCTGCTGCAATGCAACCTGAGCCCTGCACATGCACAATGGAGGACCTTCTTGCGGCAACACCAGAGGCACTCCAAGTGGCCAGATACTGGTCAAAGGACATTTAATCAACTACCAAGCTTGCAAACTTTGTGTTTTTGTTTGTCTGTTTGTTTGTTAAAAAAATGCAATGCAACTGTTTGGTCTGCTCCTGACATGATAAATAAATAAATGGCCATATAGCCGGAAAAACCTACAACAACCCAGTGATTTCAGCCATGAAAGTCTTCGACAATACATGTTCAAGTATTTTAGTCTTTTGTAGACTGGAGCTTATTGGCACAAGTTAAAGTATGCCAAGTGTTGTGTGTTCTCACAATACAAACCCATTCATTGCGCTGTGTTCATGTCCAAGCAGTAACACTATGTAACACGATTTTTGTTCCTGGGTTATAAATGTCCTTTCATAACTGGTTCTATAATGAAAACATGGGAAAAAGGATTTCCTGAAGCACATTTTGCTCTAGGTTTTAAATGAATGGGGGACACCTGGCTCAACAGCAGTATGTGTGAAAAAGATCTTGGAGTCCTTGTGGACAACAAGTTAAACATGAGCCAAAAATGTGATGCAGCGACTAAAAAAGCCAATGGGATTTTGTCCTGCATCAATAGGAGTATAGTGTCTAGATCCAGGGAAGTCATGCTATTCTGCCTTGGTCAGACCACACCTGGAATATTGTGTCCAATTCTGAGCACTGCAATTGAAGGGAGATATTGACAAGCTGGAATGTGTCCAGAGGAGGATGACTAAAATGATTAAGGGTCTGGAGAACAAGCCCTATGAGGAGCGGCTTAAAGAGCTGGGTATGTTTAGCCTGCAGAAGAGAAAGCTGAGAGGAGACATGATGGCCATGTATAAATATGTGAGGGAAGTCATAGGGAGGAGGGAGCAAGCTTGTTTTCTGCTGCCCTGGAGACTAGGACGTGGAACAATGGCTTCAAACTACAGGAAAGGAAATTCCATCTGTACATTAGGAAGAACTTCCTAACTGTGAGAGCTGTTCAGCAGTGGAACCCCCCGCCCCGGAGTGTGGTGGCTGTTCCTTATTTGGATGCTTTTAAACAGAGGTTGGATGGCCATCTTTCGGGGGTGCTTTGAATGCGTTTTTCCTGCTTTCGGCAGGGTGTCGGACTGGATGGCCTATGAGGTATCTTCCAACTCTTATGATTCTATGATATCTCACCATGTCTCAACCAATTCAGAACAGTTTGGGGCAGCCACAAAAATGATGTTCCTGGAGTACAAATACTTTCAAATGTAAGTAACACACAATTAAATAGGAATAACACTTTAAACCAGGAACAGACTTTTTCTGCA